AAGTTCTCCACTGGATGAAATAGTCCTGAAGAGTGTTTTTCCAACTTGGTCCATTTTCCCCCTCACTTTCAAGCGCCGCCAATCAGATAGATTGGTCTTTTTACATAATCCCCATACTTCTTTGCAGGGCTTTGTTCATGTCTTTTCTTCTTTTTCCTTTTGGGTTCTCTTCTCCTTTCATGTTCATTCGATTTGGAATCATCAATTTCCTGATACTCTTTCTTGCCCAGTTTGGATCGAGTCCGGTGCTGAAGGCTTGTGGCCATCTCTTGTCACGTATTTTCTCGTGTCATGGTTTCATCTTCTTTCAAATTCGTTTTAGGACCTTTCTGCTAATTACTCCCTAGCCATCAATTCTTCCATTTTTTTTTCAAGATTTTTAGTTTTCTTTGTGCTGGGTACGTAATTCTCCTTAGCTCTGAGAAGTTTGATGGACTGAGAAGCCTTCCTTCTCCTCATCTCGTCAAGTCATTCTCCAGTCCAGCCTTTGACCGGTTGCTGGCGGATGAGCTGCCGCTCCTGTTGCCGGGGGAGATGCGCTCCTTATTTTTTGAATTTCCAGATTTTCCTGCCTGCTTTTTCCTATCCTTTGTGGGGTTTTTATCTTGCCTCTGGTCTTTGGAATGATGGGTGGGACGTAACTGGATGGGGGTTTTGGTGTAGGCTGTCCTCCTTTTGATAGTTTTTCTTTAACAGTCAGGACCTCAGCCTGTAAGGTCTGTGGGAGATTGCTTGAGGTCCACTCCGAACCCCTGGTTTGGCCTGGGTTGGTCACCACAGAGGCCTGCAGAAAGATAGATATTGCCTGAACCAGCCGAGTGTCCTGTCTGATTCTTGCTTTGGAGGCTTCCTCTTCAGGGGTGTACTCCACCCTGGTGGAGTGTGGGGTGTCAGACCTGCCCCTAGTGGGGAGTCCCTCCCAGTTAGGCTACTAAGGGCCCGGGGACCCCACTTGAGCGAGCAGGCAGTCTGTCCCTTCTCAGATCTCAACCTCCGTGTTGGGAGATCCACTGCTCTCTTCAAAGCTGTCAGACAGAGTCGTTTGCGTCTGCCAAGGTGATTTTTTTCTGGTGGTATGATTTAATTTCTTGCTTTTTAGTTTTTGTGTATCTGTTGTATGTTTTTCTAATTTGAGGTTACCATGAAACTTGCAAATAATGTCTTATAAGCCTTTTTTTTTTTTTCTTTGAGAAACAATCTCACCCTGTCTCCCAGGTTGGAGTGCAATGGCGTAATCTCGGCTCTTTGCAACCTCTGCCTCCCGAGTTCAAGCGATTCTTCTGCCTCAGTCTCCCAAGTAGCTAGGATTACAGGCACTCACCATCATGTCCAGCTAATTTTTGCATTTTTTGTACAGATGGGGTTTCACCATGTTGGCCAGGCTGGTCTTGAACTCCTGACCTCGGGTGATCTGCCTGCCTCTGCCTCCCAAAGTACTGGGATTACAGGTGTGACCCACTGCACCCAGCCCACTTTTTGTTGTTTCTATTTATATCTTATTATACTGCCAATGTCTTGAAAGGCTTTTACAGTTATTTTTGATTAATATTTTTGTCTTTCTATTTAAGATAATAGTAGTTTATATATCACAATTACAATGTTATAATAGTCTGTGTTTCTCTGCATACTTACTATTACCAGTGAGTTCTGTACCTTCAGATGATTTCTTATTGCTCATTAACATTCTTTTCTTTTTAATTGTAGAACTCTTTTTGGCATTTCTTGTAGGACAACTCTGGTGTTGATAAAATCCCTCAGTTTTCATTTGTCTGAGAAAGTCTTTATTTCTCTTTCATGTTTGAAGGATATTAATATTTTTGCCAGATATATCACTCCAGGGTAAAAGCTGTTTTTCCTTTGGCACTTCAAATATGTCATGCCACTGTCTCCTGATCTGTAAGCTTTCCACTAAAAAGTCTCCTGCCAGACATATTGAAGCTCCATTGTATATTATTTGATTATTTTCTCTTGCTGTTTTCAAGATCCTTTCTGTATCCTTGACCTTTGGGAGTTTGATTATTAAATGTCTTGAGGCAGTCTTCTTTGGGTTAAATCTGTTCTACAACTCCCTTTTACTTGAATATTGATATCTTTCCCTAGGTTTGGAAAGTTCTTTATTATCCCTTTGAATACACTGTCCACTCCTATCTCTTTCTCTACCTCCTCTTCAAGGCCAAAAACTCTTAGATTTTCCCTTTTGAGGCTATTTTCTGATGTTGCAGGTGTGCTTCATCCTTTTTTATACTTTTTGTCTCCTCTGTGAATTTCCAAATAGCCTGTCTTCAAACTCAGTAATTCTTCTGCTTGAAGAATTCGGCTATTAAGAGACTCTGATACTCTTCAACATATCAATTGCATTTTCCTACTCCAGAATTTCCGCTTGATTCTTTTCATTTTTTATTTTATTTTATTTTTCGAGATGGAGTTTCATTCTTTACTCCCAGGCTGGAGTGCAATGGCACAATCTTGGCTCACTGCAACCTCCGCCTCGTAGGTTTAAGCGATTCTCCTGCCTCAGTCTCCCAAGTAGCTGGGATTTACAGGTGCATGCCACCACGCCCAGGTAATTATTGTATTTTTAGTAGACATTGGGTTTCACCATGTTGGCCAGGATGGTCTCAATCTCTTGACCTCGTGATCTGCCCACCTCGGCCTCCCAAAGTGCTGGGATTACAGACGTGAGCCACCATGCCCAGTATTGCATTATTTGCTTCAGTACCAGTGGGGGTAAAGGACAGGGTTGATTTAAAAAGAGCATAAAAGAAGTTTTTCGGATGATAGAGTAATGGTTCTATACCTTGGTTGTGGTGTAAATTTTATGACCATATGCATTTGTCAAAATTCACAGAACTATATACCTTTTTCAGGGTGAATCTTATTATTATATGTAAATTATACCACAACAAACAGGCAAAAAAGATCATTTTAGACAATACTCAAACTGCTCCATAACAGCAATTGTTCTCAGAATTCCCCATATATTTAATTAGCAATTATCAGAGTTCCTAGTATATATACTCAACAGTTAAACTGTTTCGAACTACAGCTATCTAAACCAAAGCACCAGTCAACTCCTAGATTTTATGGGTTGTTCACAATGACACAGTAGATTTACATCAACTGCTATTTTGATGTATTTTACTATTCTGTCCCTACTTTAATGAAAAATATGAAATAAGACTATCACATTCTTAGTAAGTGATTATAAGGTTAATATTTTTTACCCTTAACAATGCCTGATGAAAATGTCTAATACATATTTCAAAAGAAAATTCCATTATACAAATTTTTAAGAATATAATATGGTAAGATGGTTGAAAAGAATACTATCTAGAAGATAAATTACCTATGTATCTGGATTTGAAGGAGTCAATATAGCAAGCAGCATCATTTTCTTTAATGCCCATCTGCTCTCCCAAAGATTTAGCTCCCATTCCATAAATGATCCCATAGCAAATCTGAAAGGGAGTCATCCAACAAATAAAGGTTATAAGTACATAAAATGCAAATAAAAGGGTTCATTAGGATTGGAATTTCGGCAAACTTTTTATTTCACAGTGAGTCAAAAAATTAGATTGCTTTTGGTGGGTTAGATCCAGAGGCTGATATCCAGCAAACATCTTTTCTGCCTTTCAGCATTACTTTTTGAGAGAGAGAGAGGAGGGCAGGAGTATCAGTGAATAGGTATGTGTGATCTAAGGAAAAATTTATTTTTGACTATTTGTCATTTATCCAGCAGTCTTTATAGCAACTTTTTAACTCCTCACAGAACTTTATTAACTTCCACTTCAAGTGCTTAGGAGTCAGGGAAGAGAAGCATTACAAACATCCCTCTTCTTGCCCTTGAAGACTTGAAGAGTAGAAAGAGTAGGCTTCGTGACTTTATGACGAAGACGTAACTGGTAAAAAATATCCTCTTCACCTCGCAGCCACCTAAAATGCTACAACTGCAGAATTCGTTTCACTTAAATACAAACAAAAACACCTAAGAAAATTTTGGGAGTAGTGAAGGGAAATGATCTAAATAGGCCACTAAAGAAAGTCTGATTTAATCATAAGGACTGCCGGGGTTCAAAGCCTAGCTCTATCATTCACAAAATGTATAATCTTGCACAAGTCACTTAACCAATTTGTACCTTAATTTCTTCATCTATAAAATGAAGACAGTAACATATATATCATAGGATTGTTAGGTTTTACTTATAACTGTTTAGGAAACTGACATAAAGCAAGCTCTGTATACATATCATTAAATAAAATCTAAAAAGATAACTCACATGATTATCAGAATTCCGAAAAAAACTTTCAACATAAGCTAGCTAAAGTCTACCCCCATCCCCACGTTTTTTAATATATTGAGAGAGGGCTTTTTTCCTTTCCTTTTTTTCTTTTTCACGTTTTGTTTTGTTGTTACTACTGTTTTTTTTTAATTCATGTTACTTAGTGCTGTCTGAGATCTCAGCAAGGCTCAGGGATTAGGTGGTTTGGTACATGGTGATACAAACAAAAACTGGAATAGCATGAACACTCTTAAATCATGTGAGAATCTATTAAATAGAAGCAGCTGTCTCCGGCGGGGAAGTGTGTTGGATAGGAAGTCAGGGTGCCCAAGTTCTGGCATTCTGAATTTATTCTGGCTCTACCACTTATAGCTACATGACCTTAAGCAAATTACTTTCTGTGCTTCAGTTTCCTCCTCTATAAAATGGTGATGGTAATAATAATAGCTAGCTCATGGGTTATGAGAATTAAATATGGGAATATTATCTATTTTACCTAGGGTTTGATTCTCGCTAAATGCGGGACGCCTCTGGGGATTAAACAGACAGAGAGGACAGAGCTGGCTTTTTAAATAGTGGAAGAAACAAGTGTTGGTGCTAAACAGGTGGTTAGAGAAAGTGTTCCATGCTTGATGAGCCAGTCAAGAAGTACAGCTGTGAGGCTGGGTGCCGTGGCTCATGCCTGCGATCCCAGCACTTTGAGAGGCCAAGGTGGGAGGATCACTTGAAGCCACGAGTTCAAGACCAGCCTGGGCAACAAATTGAGATCCCACCTCTCCATAAAAAATAAATAAATAAATAAATAAGTAAGTAAGTAAATAAATAAACAAACCCTACAGCTCTGAGGAACTAGAAGTGTAAATGTGAAACAAAAACACAAAAACAGCAGGATCTCAGAGTACGGTGATGTGCATTTACATCAGCTAGCAATCCTACTGTCTTGCAAATGGCATCCGATTTCCCACGAGTCATGTGGTAAGAAAGTATCAGTGTTAATCCAGGCCAGGAAATGGCATACATGTGGCCTTTGACTTACTCTTTGCCTAATAAGTGGATTAACTAACCAATAACTTCAAGAGCTAAAAAGCTATCAGGTACTAACTATAATCTACAGGTCAGCAATATTTTTCAACAAACATTTAGAGACCACCTTCTATACAAAGCACTATGGCTTGATGCTATAAAAAAACACAAACACGAAAATATGGAACTTTACCTCAGAACACTTACAGACTAGAAAGATTTTTTTTTTTTTTGAGATGGAGTCTCGCTCTGTCACCCAGGCTGGAGTGCAGTGGTGCTATCTCAGCTCACTGCAAGCTCTCTCTCCTGGGTTCAGGCCATTCTCCTGCCTCAGCCCCCCGAGTAGCTGGGACTACAGGCGCCGGCCACCAAGCCCGGCTAAGTTTTTGTATTTTTAGTAGAGACGGGGTTTCACCGTGTTAGCCAGAATGGTCTCGATCTCCTGACCTCGTGATCTGCCTGCCTCAGCCTCCCAAGTGCTGGGATTACAGGCGTGAGCCACTGCACCCGGCTTAGAAACATGTTTTTTAAGTATACACATAAGCACACATGCGGGTGCACACTAACACACACACTCTTACCACCACTGCCACAATGACATCTACTGAGTACCAGGCACTGTGACCAGCCATACAATGGCTTTAAATGCATATGGTTTTCCTGACACGAAGTAGCCTCAGATCTCAGCCTTTTTGGTTCTTTCTACTGCCACCACAAAAGAAAATATAAAGAATACCATGAGATAAGCTCAGATGAAATGTGCTTTGAAAGATCCAAAGTTGGAGAAACTGTTTCTCAGTTGCAAATAATTGAGACCATTTTAAAATTTTTTTGAGTCACTAAATTCTTCTCCTTTATATTAAGCATGTTCACTAAAATCACCTGTTTTGCCTGCTGCCTCAGATCATCCCCAACAGACTCTGGCTCAATCATCTTCCATTCTGCTGCAATGCTCCTGAAAACATCAGCTCCAGTGTTTAACACTTGAATGAGACGACGATCATGGGATAAATGAGCCAAGATCCTCAGTTCAAGCTGGGAGTAGTCAGCAGCCAGTATTAAACCACCTGAAGTAGAAGTGATTTCAGAAAAGCTAGGACCAAGTTCTGTATCACACAATCCAAGTTTTATATCATATAATTGAGCAGGATGACAAAAATTTAGTTCTAACTTAGAACTTTGAAATCACATGCCAAAAGTTAAAACCTTCCTCTTAACATGATGGAATTCGGCTCTGTATCTTAGGTCATTTTTTTCCATGTAGCTTTCAAGTACATATAATATGGGTAAAGCCACCCGGACATCTGCCCACTGTGGAGTGTGTTCCTCAGTGTTCCTACAGCACCTGGCACATAATCCAAAATGGTGCTTTCGTGCCTCTCTTACTTTGCTCTGAGTACTTATGAATAGGAAGCTTAATTTTCCTTTTCATTCTACAGAAAACCTTGCACAGTTGCTGGTAGATAATAGGCCCTTAACAAACGATTGTTGAATGAATTAATTAATGAAAAAACTGGTGTCCAATGTGTGCAAATGTTAAGTGGGCTGGAGAGAAATGTGTGCCCTGATTTGACAATAACAAAGTCATTCAGTGAAAAAAATCAAGTGGTCAACAGGTGAGCAAGTTATTAAAAGGATTAAAATAATTTACCTATAGATTAGAAATGGGAGGATTAGATATGCATGACAAAACAAAAACAAAGTTAAAAAATAAAAGCAGGGTCAAAGAAAAATTAGAAAAATATTTGCAACTGATACCACAAAGGACTCAATGCCATTTCACAAGAAGAGTTGTTACTTGTGGAGGAAAAGACAAACTATAAATAAGAAGTTCAGACATACTAAAAACAAAAGAACCTTAAACATATTAAAGAATGCTCAACTTCATAAGAGAAATGAAAAATCTATGGCAAGAAACAATTTTTCTTCACCTATATTGCAAAAATTACAAAAGTCAGACAATACTCTGTGACAAGGCTAAGGAGAAAAACACTCGTACATCGTTACTGAGAAGTAAAATGGTAATCTCCTCCCCATTAGTTGGCAATTTAACAATATCTATTGAAATTAAACAGGTTTTTACTCCATGACTCAGCAAACAAGCCCACAGATTGCTGCACAGACTGCCTGCACATAGTTTAAACTGGTTTTTCTTTAAATGTCCTTATTGATAAGCAGAAGTCTCTAGTGTAGAAACATTACGGCCGGGCACAGTGGCTCATGCCTGTAATCCCAGCACTTTAGGAGGCCAAGGCAGGCAGATCACAAGGTCAGGAGATCGAGACCATCCTAGTCAACATGGTGAAACTCTGTCTCTACTAAAAATACAAAAATTAGCTGGGCATGGTGGCACATGCCTATAATCCTAGCTACTTGGGAGGCTGAGGCTGGAGAATTGCTTGAACCAGGGAGTTGGAGGTTACAATGAGCTGAGATCCTGCCACTGCATTCCAGCATGGTGACAGAGTGAGACTCTATCTCAAAAAAACAAAAAACAAAAAACAAACAAAAAAAGAAACATTACATGAAAAAAGCAAGGTACACAATAGTATATACAGAATGCTAATTTTGTGTAAAAATAGGGAAAGAAAAGATTATATACCCATATTTGCTTATATCTGCATAAAGAAATACTGTCAAAATACATAAAAAACCTCATACATGTAGTAATCTGTAAGAGCTGGGAAGGATAGTGTAGATGACAGAGAAGGAAGAAAATACCGTAAATACATAAAAAACCTCATACATGTAGTAATCTGTAAGAGCTGGGAAGGATAGTGTAGATGACAGGGAAGGAAGAAAATACCGTAAATACATAAAAAACCTCATACATGTAGTAATCTGTAAGAGCTGGGAAGGATAGTGTAGATGACAGGGAAGGAAGAAAATACCATCAAAAAACATAAAAAACCTCATACATGTAGTAATCTATAAGAGTTGGGAAGGATAGTGTAGATGACAGGGAAGGAAGCAAAGCTTCCCAATACACATCTTTTACATTATGTTGATTTCTGAATTATGTTAATAACCTATTCAAAAACAGAGATAAATACTAATTTAAAATAGAGGTTGAGCATCCCTAATCCAAAATTCCAAAATCCAATATGCTTCAAAATCCAAAACTTTTGAGCACCAACAAGAGCTCAAACGCCACGCTCACTGGGGCATTTCAGATTGTGGATTTTTGAATTAGAGATGTTCAATTGGTAAATATAGTGCAAATTAAAAAAAAAAAAGTCTAAATCTAAAACACTTCTAGTTCCAAGCATTTCACATAAGGGATACTCAATCTGTAAATGACCACAACTTTGGTGGACTTCCTACCACAGACAACTATAAAATTGGACAAATTATAAGGAGAAAAGTTCTCAGATGTTAGACAACAAGCCATGCAGAACTATAATCACTGAGAAAGGTAGAAAATGAGGTGAGCCACACAAAGGTCTTAGGGATCTGAATGGAGGCATTTTCCAGAATCTGTAGCAGGGAAAGGGAGCTGAAACACAGCACTCTCTCTCTCTCAACTAAGGAAACAGTCTAGAGTTTGGGGCTTTGAGGCAGCTGGAATTTGGAGAGAAAAAAGGTGTGCATAAAAGGAGCACCAGAAATATGCACAGGAATCTCCTTGGATTTTTGATCAAATATTAAGTTGTGCAGGGAGAAAGTGCAGGGCACCAGGCAAAGAACAAACACTGAAGAAATAAATATTACTAAAGGAAGAACAAATACTGCATAGCTTTCAGCTGAACAACTACTTCAACAACATATTCTTGAATGCTAAGAAATGATCAAGCTGTAACAAGACTGAGAAGAAATCTTGTTTAAACAACTTTAGCACCAAGCAGACTCCAGAAAGGCCATACCTTATGAACAGGAATAACCTAGCCCTAGAGTGCAGGCTACTCTAAACATTTGTTAGCAAACCTTTAAAGGCCTCAAAATGACCAAGCTGATGTGAAAGTAAATTGTCTGACAAAAGAAAACTTTATATTCTATTAGTGAAGACTACAAAATCCAAAGATTCAACAAGGTGGCAACCATAACGTCCGCATACTAGCAGCAATGCTTCAGTATTTGTTAATTTAGTGTTCACTGTGGCTTTGTAGAATGCAACTACTATGAATAACAAGAATCAATCACATTTTACAAAAAGCGAAAGATCTTCAAATAACCCACCTGATATGATTTGGCTATGTCTCCATCCAAATCTCACCTTGAATTGTAACAAAACTCACATGTCAAGAGGCAAGGTGAAGATAATTGAATCATGTGGCTGGTTTCTCCCATACTGCTCTCATGGTAGTAAGTCTCACAAGATCTGATGGTTTTATAAACGGGAGTTCCCCTGTATAAGCTCTTGCCTGCCACCATGTAAGATGTCAAGATGCCCCTTTGCTTTTCCTTCATCTTCCACCATGATTGTGAGGCCTCCCCAGCCATGGGGAACTGTGAGTCCATCAAACCTCCTTCCTTTGTAAATTACCCAGTCTCAGGTAGGTCTTTATTAGCAGCATGACAACGGACTAATACACCACCAAACAATTACCCATAGATTCTATAGGTAACCTAACAGTATTGTAGATCAATCAAATTGCAAGTGTTTCTTTTTTGGCTTTGGATAAATTGTTCCATAACAGAGAAACTGCTTAATTAATATTCTGAATAGGCTTTGTCTCAGTGGACTTCCAAATTTTATTAGCTTACAAAATCAAACCAGTGACACAGATATTTTGGAATCTTTCACATTTGTCAAAGAAGAATTTTAAATAGATATGAAAAAATTGGTTTTTATCATACTGACAATGCTCTAGCTTTGTCATTAAAAACCTCTATTTTTTTAGAATTTTAAACAGGAGAATGATGTTTCCCTATTTCTTCATTCTACTATACATATAAAAAAGATTTATATTCAGTTTTCTAAATCAGACCATCAAAAGTGTTACAATACAGTTAAAATTATTTTATATATGTGTACAAATGCTGAGTCATCACTAGCTTAAGGAACTGTTGAAAATTTCTGACAATGAATTTAACAATCTTGTGTACTCTGTCAAAGCTCATTCATGAAAGAGTCCTACAAAGATTTACTGTACTCCAATTCAATATTTTCTTGAAACAAAAGAACATTTGCCAAGTATTCAGTAATCAAAGACAAAAAGAACAATGTGATTTATGTTTTTTGACTGATATCACACAGCATATATTTGAGGCTCCAAGAAAGTGAAAAATGTACTTCTGATCTAGCTAGACTGGTAAGAGAATTTATTTGGAAATGAAAACTTTTCATAAAACCAATTAATAATGGGCGGGGTGCGGTGGCTCACACCTGTAATCCCAATAATTTGGGAAGCCAAGGCTGGAGGATCACTTGAGCCCAGGAGTTCCAGACCAGCCTGAGTAACATAGTAGGACCCCCATCTCTACCAATAACAACAACAATAATAATAATGATAATTTTATGCATTTTTCAAGAATAAATCAATATGCAGTATAGTTTAATTACAATCAACATGTTATATAAATTGAAAATATTAAAAATTTTTAAAAATGCTCTGATGTTGATGAATTTAGAGTCGCTTTTTTATTTAAGTAACAGTCCTTTGAATTTGACATACTATAGGTACACATCCCTAATCTGAAAATTCAAAATCCAAACTGTTCCAAAATCTAAAACTTTCTGAGCACTGGCATGATGCCACAAGTGGAAAGTTCTACAACTGACCTGTTGTAACAGGTCAAAGTTATAACTTTGTTTCATGAACAAAATTTAAAATATTGTATAAATTACCTTTAGGCTATGTCTATAAGATGTATATGAAACATAAATTTCATGTTTTTTTTTTTTTTTTTTTTTTGAGAAGGAGTCTCGCTCTGTCGCCCAGGCTGGAGTGCAGTGGCCGGATCTCAGCTCACTGCAAGCTCCGCCTCCCGGGTTTACGCCATTCTCCTGCCTCAGCCTCCCGAGTAGCTGGGACTACAGGCGCCCGCCACCTCGCCCGGCTAGTTTTTTGTATTTTTTTAGTAGAGACGGGGTTTCACCGTGTTAGCCAGGATGGTCTCAATCTCCTGACCTCGTGATCCGCCCGTCTCGGCCTCCCAAAGTGCTGGGATTACAGGCTTGAGCCACCGCGCCCGGCCAAATTTCATGTTATGACTTGGATCCCATCCCCAAGATATCACATTATGTATATGCAAATATTCCAAAATCTGAAACACTTTTGGTCCCAAGGATTTGAGATAAGGGAAACTCAACTTGTAATAATGAGTAACATAAGAGTAAATTTACTTAACTTGTATAGACATTGTTTTGTAATGGATGTTTCTGCTTCAAAGTCAAATTAATACTTCTAAAAAAAAGATGAACCAGCTTTGTCAATGCAGATGCAATTTTTTAAAAAATGAGTCTCTGGTACTCAATTCAGTTACTGGAATTTTTTTTTTAAAGATAGGGTCTTGCCCTTTCACCTAGGCTGGAGTGCAGTGGCATGATCATGGCTCACCGCAGCTGCATCCTTCTGGGCTCAAGTGACATGATATTCCCACCTCAGCCTCCTGAGTAGCTGGGACTACAGGTGCGCACCACCATGCCTAGCTAATTTTTTGACTTTCCATAAAGATGGGGTCTCCCTTTGTTGCCCACGCTGGACGTGAAGTCCTGGACTCAAGCAATCTTCCTGCTTCGGCCTCCAAAAGTGCTGGGATTACAGCTGTGAGCCACCACGCCTTGTGAGAAATACTTTCAAGTATGTCTGAAACAACTTGGGCATGTGATCTACTTTTTCAAAATATAAGTTTTATAAAATCAAGCATACCTTGCTAATTGGACTTTATTATGCCTCACAGATATTGCAGTGTTTTGTTTTGTTTTTTTAAAGAAATTAAAGGTTTTTAGCAACTCTGAGTGGAGCAAGTGTATCAGCACCATTTTTCCAACAGCATGTGTTCACTGTGGCACATTTTATTAATAGTAATGCCCACATTATTTCAAACCCTCTCATTATTATCTGTTATGGTGATCTTTGATATTACTGTTATTACAACCCATGAACCACACTCATGTAAGAGTGAACTTCATTGATCAATTTTGTGTGTGTTCTAACTACTCCACTGACCGGCTGTTCCCCTACCTTTCTCCCCTCTTGCTCAGAACTCCCTATTCCCTGAGATACAATATTAAAATTAGGCTAATTAATCACCCTACAATGGCAATGGCCTCTATGTGTTCAAGTGAAAGGGAAAGTCACATCTCTCGTGTTAAACCAAAAAGCTAGAATTGATTAAGCTTAGTGAGGAAGGCATGTCAAAAGCTGAGATAGATTGAAAGCTAGGCCTCTTGTGTCACACAGTTAGCCAAGTTGTAAATGCAAAGGAAAAGTTCTTGAAGGAAATTAAAAGTGTTACTCCACTGCACACACAACTGATAAGAAGGCAAAACAGGCTTATTGCTAATATGGAGAAAATTTGAGTGGTCTGGACAATAAAAATCAAACCAGCCACAACATTCTCTTAAGCCAAAGTCTAATCCAGAGCAAGGAGACTCTGATGTACTATTCAGCATGTCAATTGCATTTTCCTACTCCAGAATTTCTATGAAGGCTGAGAGGGGTGAGGAAGCTGCAGGGAAAAAAAAAAAAAACAACTGATTCATGAGTTTTAAGAAAACTCTGTGGCACTCCAGCCTGGGCGAGAGTGAGACTCGGTCTCAAAAAAAAAAAAAAAAAAAGAAAGAAAGAAATTGCCATACACCTTGGCTGGGCGAGGTGGCTCACGCCTATAATCCCAGCACTTTGGGAGGCCAAGGCGGGTGGATCACCTGAGGTCATGAGTTCAAGACCACAGGAGAATGATGTTTCCCTATTTCTTCATTCTACCCGTCTCCACTAAAAATACAAAATTAGTCGGGTGTGGTGGCCCATGCTTGTAATCCCAGCTACTAGGGAGGCTGACGCAGGAGAATCGCTTGAACCTGGGAGGCGGAGGTTGTGGTGAGCCAAGATCGCACCATTGCACTCCAGCCTGGGTAACAAGAGCAAAAGTCTGTCTCAAAAAAAAAAAAAAAGAAATTACAATACACCACACAGACCTTCTGGGGACTCCCTTGGATAACTTTGATAGAATTTTGTAGGCTGATAGTTTAGATATAAGTAAAACTAAAAATTGCCAAGCAGGGCATGTCATCATAGGTCTGAATTCACCATTGGCAAAAAGTTTCTGATGGAATTTAAATAAATTCAGATGGTTAATTGTGCTCACTAGGACTTGCCAGTTGGTGAAAGATTAAAGAACAAATATGTATACTAACAGTCGGGATGATCTGCAAGTTACATCATCACTTCCAAATGTCTTGACAACAAAAGGTTTATGACTAGAGTACTGAGGAGAGGTCAGGCAGAATGAGAATAGCTTTAGGGGCCACCCCATGCAATAGGAAGCAGCAGTGCAGAAAAAGAGAGAAAAAACATAAAAGCAAACAAGTTAGAAGGAGAGAAAAACTGTGCCCTTACAGGTCAAGGGAGAAGAGAAATTGAAGGAGGAGTTGATTAACAGTGACAAATGCTGTAAACAAGTTAAAGAGGATGAAGACTGACAAAATCAACTGGACTTTGCAAAGAAGTTTATGACGTTAGAAAACATGGTTTCAGCAGACTGTTGCTGCTGGGCACACACCATGAAAGTTTTCCACAGAGCAGATCATGGAGACGATGACGGCTATAAACCTGGCACGACAAAGGAGAAAGGCAGGCTCCACTGTAGACAGAAAGATGGAGGGACCAATGCATGCTCTAAATCTCACTCATATTTCAGGCTTTATCCATGCTTTGAAAAACATTCTCACAGCAATGAGAAGCTTCAAAGCTATCAGCCACCTTACCTGGGAAAGGAACAAAGGCATGTCGCATGCTAATTGAAAATGGCATTCCTCTGTCTGCAGCTCTCTCCTCCATCTGTGCCTGGCGTCCAGGGTTCAGGCTGCAACCCTTCTTACTTTTTCCTCTGTGGTGCAAACAACATCATCAGTTAGACATGAAGCAGTCTCAAATATATGAAAAAGGTCTGATTTTCAGTAACATCAGTATTTCCATCTAAGAAACTTAATAAAACCCTTATCTGAGGACTGGATGTGGTAGCTCACACCTGTAATACCAGCACTTTGGGAAGCCAAGGCGAGCAGATTGCTTGAGCCCAGGAGTTCAGGTCTAGTCAGGGCAACAAAGTGAGACCCTTGTTTCTACAAAAATTAACTAGGCATGGTGGCACACGCCTGTGGTCCCAGCTACTCAGGGGGCTGAAGTGGGAGGATTGCTCGAGCCCAGGAGGTAGAGGTTGCAGTGAGCTGAGATCGCGCCAAACAAACAAACAAAAACAAACAAACCTTTATCTGAGACTCATTTTAAAGCTTAACAAAGACATTAGAACTTTTTTTTAGCAAACAGTCAATTAAGCATGAATTAGATTCTTTTTTTTTTTTTTTTTTTTTGAGACGGAGTCTCGCTCTGTCGCCCAAGCTGGAGTGCAGTGGCGCGATCCTGGCTCACTGCAAGCTCCGCCTCCTGGGTTCACGCCATTCTCCTGCCTCAGCCTCCCGAGTAGCTGGAACTACAGGCGCCCGCCACCGCGCCCGGCTCATTTTTTGTATTTTTAGTAGAGACGGGGTTTCACCATGGTCTCGATCTCCTGACCTTGTGATCCGCCTGCCTCGGCCTCCCAAAGTGCTGGGATTACAGGCGTGAGCCACCACGCCTGGCCTTGAATTAGATTCTTTATAGATGGGACTCAGAATTCAAAATGGTCTAGGACAGAAATGGGTATGTCTGAAACATAAAATTAAGCTAATTTCATTTATTTGTCTAATAAGCTATTTTGAGCCATTCATACTTAAAAAAGTTTATTAACACAGATACAGAGAAACAGTGCCTACCTGCCCATGGGAAGTAGGCCTTTGCCTATAGCTTGAGAAGGTGGGCTTTCTCCTACTAGTGTTGGCATTTTGATTTCAAAATCTCTTGGCACATTCTGAATATTTGGTTCTGTAAAGGTTATTCGTCCTAAAATCAAGCAGAATAAAGATATAAAACTAGAAAAAAAATCTGGTATTTGTTTTAACAGTATTCACATTTCTGGATTATCTTAAAAATGCAGACTATCAATGCTGAACTGAAATAAATTTACATTTAAATATTTTTCATCATGTTCATGTGTCTAACAATGATAAAATAAGTACAAGACCATCCCAAAATATATGAATGTATGAATTGGCTACAATACTATGTTTTACACAGAAAACAATCTCACAATGAGAAGTAATTTGATAAACTGAACTATTCCTATGCTAAAATGAGTATCAGATTTCAGCCCTATAACATGTTAGCGGCCAGATTCGTGAGTAAAGGCTAATCAAATGGATCTTAGGAGAAACAACCACTGAAGCTTCTAAAAAGCCCATCACTTTCAGACATCATCTGGCTGTTTTTCTTCCTCATTATCATTCATCAAGAGAATCAACAATAGTACTGACTAGAAGTACTGAATCAGGTGAAACTTGAATCAGGTGGTTAATAGTAAATTTTCCAGTGAACAGAAAGCTGTTTTTTTAAAAAATGCTTATAAGCCTGGCCAACACAGTAAAACCCCGTCTCTACTAAAAACAAAAAAAATTAGCTGGGCATGGTGGCGGGTGCCTGTAATCCTCAGCTACTTGGGAGGCTGAGGCAGGAGAATCGCTTGAACCTGGGAAGTGGAGGTTGCAGTGAGCTGAGATCATGCCACTGTACTCCAGCCTGGGCAACAAAGTGAGACCCTTGTTTCTACAAAAATTAACTAAAATTAGCTGGGCATGGTGGCGGGTGCCTGTAATCCTCAGCTACTTGGGAGGCTGAGGCAGGAGAATCGCTTGAACCTGGGAAGTGGAGGTTGCAGTGAGCTGAGATCATGCCACTGTACTCCAGCCTGGGCAACAAAGTGAGACTCTGTCTCAAAAAAAAAAAAAAAAAAAAAAAAAAAGCTTATAAAACCTTTATTTCCCAATATATTTTACATCTTTTGTTTACTTATTGGTTGAATTTCTCTAAAACATGAAAACATGTTAAGTATCACTCCAAAAAAGTTTGAGTAATTTTTTTACTGTGATTTTTATAATACTATCAGTAACACTAAAACTCTATTTTATGACACACTCTTCATTGTAACAGGCTGTCTACTAGCTATGTATAACTCTATCGTCTTCTGATAAACCAGACATTTTAAGTGACTTGGACATTGTTTTTCTGAATGATCCCCTGATATTATATATTTGTCATTTAGCTTTTAGCAAAAAATAAGTGCTCCATCAATGATAACCTTTAACATAATTGTTGTCATTAAATGGCCTGTGCAGTGTTACAAAGCTAACAAACAGCAGAGGAAGGCACCCAAGGCTCTTTTTACGTCAACACATTGTCTTCTTTTCTATAACACTTAATATTCAGCACACTACTCTGGTCTATTAGTTGAATTAATGAGGCAACACTGGCAGACCAAAAAAATGGTAAAAATAAATTACAAAGAATGAATATATAGCTTAATGGACATGAAGTATATTCATGAAATGGCTTTGTTATGCTTAAGCTTGTATTTCTAAATATTATAAAAGTTATAAAATATTATTAAAATACATTTCTAAATTCACTAAGTAAAATCAGTAACAAAATCAAAATAAATGTTGCATATTTATTTGTTCTTTACAAACAAATAACAAAGCAGAAGGCTTATTACTGATTTTACCTTCTGCTTTGTAAAGAACAAATAAATGTGCAAAAATTCTGAGCCTGTAATCCTCAGCTACTTGGGAGGCTGAGGCAGGAGAATCGCTTGAACCCAGGAGGCAGAGGTTGCAGTGAGCCGAGATCACGCCACTGCACTCCAGTCTGGCGACACAGCGAGACTCCATCTCAAAAATAAATAAATAAATAAATAAATAAAAAATAAATAAAAATTTAAAAAAGAAAATTCTAGGTTGATGTTGTCTTTTCATCCCGGAGGGTTTTATTTTACATACGTTTATATTATTAGCATATGTTTCCTTTTTTTGTTGTTGTTGAGATGGAGTCTTGCTCTGTCGCCCAGGCTGGGGTGCAGTGCCACTATCTCGGCTCACTGCAAGCTCCGCCTCCCGGGTTCACGCCATTCTCCTGCCTTAGCCTCCCGAGTAGCTGGGACTATAGGTGCCTGCCACCATGCCCGGACTAATTTTTTGTATTTTTAGTAGAGACAGGGTTTCACCATGTTAGTCAGGATGGTCTCGATCTCCTGACCTCATGATCTGCCTGCCTCGGCTTCCCAAAGTGCTGGGATTACAGGCGTGAGCCACCGTGCCCGGCCTAGCGTATGTTTCAAAGTGAAATTTAAATACTAACAGGGCAAGATATCACTAGGATGGGACAAGTTTAGAAAGTTTAGAACAAGGGATAAAGCAAGTAGAGAAAAGCAGCGCCTCATGAAGCTTCCGCACTAGGTAACAGCAGCAACTGATAGTGAGCGCTTTCTAGGAGCCATGCACTATTCTAAATACTCTACATCTATGAAACTATTTAATCCTCAGAATTACCAGGTGAGGTAAGACTGTTATTACCTTGTTTATTTGTTTATTGGTTTATTTATTGATTGACTAAGACAAGGTCTCACTCTGTTGCCCAGGCTGAAGTTCAGTGGCTCAATCACAGTTCACTGTAGCCTTGACCTCCCAGGCTCAAGCGATCCTTCTATCTCAGCCTCCCAAGTGGCTGGGACTACAGGCACAAGATACCACACGCATGGCTAATTTTTTAACTTTCTAAAGAGACATGGTTTCACCATCTTGCCCAGGCTAGGCTCAAACTCCTGGGCTCAAGTGACCCTCCCGTCTTGGCCTCCCAAAGCGCTGGGATTACAGGCAGCAGCCACTGTGCCCGGCCCATTACCTTCTTTTATACATGAAAAAACTTAGGCATTGAGAGGTTAAGTATCTTGTCTAAAGATTCACAGAACCAGGATTCAAACCCTGATTTCTGATGTCAAAGTCCACATTCTATACCACCAATCTAAACTGCCTGCCTCCTCTATGAATGAGTTAGAGCCACCCTTTCTTCCACTACACATCACATTTGGCAAATATTTAGAGTTTTGTATTGCCTAGAGAAAGAATACATTTTTCTTCATAAGATTACACTCTTACTTATCTCGAGAGGACCATGAGATAACCAAAGGACTCTACAGCTTTCTTTTCTGCTTGGGTAAAATAAGACACTTACTTATACAGATGCCCCAGAGGCCTACTGAGATCAACTTGGAGAAATCTTAAGAGGCTCAAAAAAGAGCTGGGACTGAAATCAGATAAGACCACTGACTCAAATATTTAATTCCTGCGTATACTCACACTGAAAGCACTGTCTCAGACATCCCAGTTACTCTATACAAGTACTTAAAAGCAGGAACCAGGCTGGGTACAGTGGCTCATTCCTGTAATCCCAGCACTTTGGGAGGCCGAGGCGGGTGGATCACCTGAGGTCATGAGTTCAAGACCAGCCTGACCAACGTGACGAAACCCCATCTCTACTAAAAACACAAAAATTAGCAGGGTGTGGTGGTGTGTGCCTGTATTCCCAGCTACTCGGGAGGTTGAGGCAGGAGAATCACTTGAACCTGGGAGGTGGAGGTTGCAGAGAGCCAAGATCGTGCCACCACACTCCAGCCTGGGCAACAAGAGTGAAACTCTGTCTCAAAAAAAATAAAAATAAAAAAATAAATAAATAACTAAAAATAAAAGCAGGAACCAATACTCATCACTGTACCCAGGTAGTATCTATCTGTGCCTTGGGAAAAGCATGTATTTTATAGGTGTAAAAGTTTACTGAACCCCTTGATCAACACTTGAATTCTTGGCCATCATAAGAAATATTGCATATGAAAACGTTTTTACTTCAAAATTGGATATTGTTTATACTTAAGATTTCTCATCACCTGTAGCAGTGTGCGACTGTGATACAGGATAGACTCTTTCCATTCCAAGAAAAGGATTAAGACGCTTTTCCCGCTGAAGGGGAAAGACCACTTTGGTAATAGCATTAGTGATTCTTCTCCATTCTAATATCAAACCTGGTAAAGGATGTAATGCCTTTAATTTATTTAAAACATCCTGCCAAAAAAACATAATAAGGTAAGATTGAATTCTTGTCCAAATTCCATAGCAAGTTAGAATCTCTTTTCTGTAAATAATACAATCTCAAAATTAAATTTGAGAGTAATATCTACAACTCAAAACTCTTACTTGGGTTTTTTTTTTAAACCACCATATTGATAAAACTATAACTACAGTTTATAAAATGCAAATGTGGTAATACTGAGCACTATCAATTTAAAACTACCTTTTTCAAAAAAAATCAATGAATTGTCAGTCTAACAAAGTAACTGCCTCCGCACACCCCACCAAAAGTTTATTTTACATCATCTGTTTTCTTTATGCATTTTCCTCCTTCACTCCTCACATGACTGGAAGTATACCAGTTGTTTTTGTGCTTGCCCGGATACTTAATATGGTTTCCATATGAAGGTAATCAGGAGACATTTATTTTTAAAAGTTTGAATTTTTCATACTATAGACTTTCAGTGAACTATTAAGGAACAGAAACTTGTGAGTAAAAAGGCCAGTGAGATTAAATAAAAAAATGTGCTATAGCCTGGAGCTAAAGAAACTTCCTAGGGGCAGACAAATCATAGATAATGGTATAAGGACCACAATTCTACACAAGGGCAACTTGGATAGCTCTATGGCTATATTTTCTACCCTATTTTTCCCCTGAAACATCAGTAAAAAGTAAAATTAAGCCCTTTCTTCCATCCCACTAATGCATATAGTTTCCATGGATTATGATTAACAATTTTACTTTGAAATTAGCAGATTAAATTCTTAAATCAGGGCCTGGTGCAGTGGCTCATGCCTGTAACACCAGCACACTGGGAGGCCGAGGCAGGAGGATCCCTTGAGGTCAGGAGCTCAAGACCAGCCTGGCCAACATGGTGAAACCCTGTCTCCACTAAAAATACAAAACTTAGCCGGGCATGGTGGCTCAACTTTATAAACCTTTATACCATGTTAATGATAGGAAGGAAGGACACAACTGCTAACTTAGATTATGATTCAGATTTTCCATGCTGGAATATCTCCACAGAATTTGTGGGCTACCAAACCACAAACCAATGTGTTAATTTATATCTGGGTAAATTCAAATGGTAGGCTAAGATCTTGATTTCATCAGCATTCTTTCTAGACACCAAAATGTTAAAAGCAGTTTAGGTTCTGCCCTGCTCTGTGACTGCCCCAAAGAGCACCTTACTAGTGCTGAACTGTCTTCCCAGCCTTAGCTTGCGTCCATTGTCATTCCCTCTTCTGGTGGAACCCAGAGTTTTCTTGCTGCCTTGGTTTTTCATCTCTCCATTTGGGGGCAACTTCAATTCCAAAAATAAAACCTGCAAGCAATTAATGCCTCTTTAGTCAAGAATGAAACTTGCAAGGACTATCATTTAGAAAATATTTTAAGTTATTTTAGAAAACAATCTCTACAGTTCAACATGGATTGAAATAATGTTTCTCCGGATAATTTGGAATTACCACATTTAATAAATGATGGCAATGAAAATGTATATGTCAGGTAGTCTATCCATATTCTAATTAGGCACTATCAGATTAATACTAACACAGGCCTTTTTTTTTTTTTCTTGAGACAGGATCTCACTGTCACCCAGGCCAGAGTGTAGTGGTGTGATCACAACTCACTATAGCCTTGACTTGCTGAGCTCAAGTGATCCTCCCACCTCAGCTTCCCGAGTAGCTGGGGCCACAGGCGTGCAGCACCATGCCAGGCTAATTTTTGTATCTTTGGTAGAGACAGGATTTCGCCATGTTGGCCAGGGTGGTCTCAAACTCTTAAGCACAAGCAATCCACCTACCTCGGCCTCCCAAAGTGCTGGGATTATAGGCATGAGCCACTACACCCAGCCAGCTTTTAAGCAGTCAGGAACACAGACATGTATATACGCTGTGCTGAGCAACTGGCAAACAAGTTATTAACATTGAGACTTATTGCTGTAAGAATTGTGAGCTCTCCTAAATGAGACTGTTCAATCAGTTAAGCCCCATAGATCAACATGGAAGCTTACATGGCTATTGTCTCATTACAAAAATCAGAAAACACTAAAGTAGGAAGGGGTTTAAAAAGTCATCTAGTACCACCACCACAATGCTGGGCCCTGACAGTCCCTAGGCACAAAAAGTTAGGAGAAGGTGGCCAAAACAATGTGGCAATAATGAATGCTAGAGAGGGCTGGCAGCACCCACTGAAGACACCAGGACCACGCTGTGCAGAAGGTGGAAGATCCCATGTAACACTCACAAGCTCAGATTAGAGGGGATGAAACTAGGGCAATTCAGAACATTATCTACTATACCTAATCATTCACTTATATATTTTGAGTGGGTTTTAATGAACCTTGAATTATTTTCCCAGTAATAATTCTAAAAATTGAAACTATTTGTGTAAGCACAAGAATTTTTCCCACAAGTTGGGCCAGGGATGGAAGGGAAGATAATCCCTGTGCTTCCCTAGAATAGTAATGATGACAGAAATAATGATCTGGTTCCAGTTTCAACTGGGGTCTTAGGAATGAAAAGTACTGAGGCTTTCTGCAGATGTCAGTAACTACTTAGCCCAAGAACTGTGTTACACAGATGTGAACATATGCATGTATAGGGATTAGGGTTGCCACACATACCAAATAAAATTACAAAATGCCCAGTTAAATTTGAGTTGCATGGGGCATACTTATACTAAATTGTTATTCATTGTTTACCTGACATTCAAAATTTTTTATTGACAAATTACAGTTGTATACATTCATGGGGTACAGGATGATGCTTTGATGTAAGTATACAATGTGGTGTGATTAAATTAAGCTGATTAACATATTAATCACCACACTTAGACCTATCATTTTTTATGGTAAGACATTTGAAATTTACTCTCTTACTTTGAAATATATAATACATTATTATTGACTATAGCCACCCTGTGTACAATAAATCTTAGAATCGATTCCTCTTGTTTATCTGAAACTTTGTACCCTTTGATAAACAATTCCCCATTCCCCTATCTAAAACTTTATGCCCTTTGATTAGCAACTCCCCATTTCCCCACTCCCTACTTCCCCAGCCTCTGGTAACAACTGTTCCACTTTCCACTTCAAGGAGTTCAACTTCATTGGATTCCACATAGAGTGAGATCATCTGAAACATATGGTACTTATCTTTCTTTAACTGGCTTATTTCACTTAGCATAACATCCTCCAGGTTCATCCATGTTTTCAAAAATGACAGGATGAAATACAAAATTGAAACTGGATGTGCCATATTTTATCAGGCAACCCTAGTACAGGTATCGAAGGGTACACGAATGGCAGTATAGGAGAAAAAAATCAAGTAACTGGATAGGAAAAATAAAACACTATTAAAGTAACAATAAGGCAACAAACCCAGGAAGAGAGACCCATTATGAATAAAGACAACACAAAGATCTCAAGTTATATATGTAGAAGTTCTTTAGCTTAAGCTTTTTTTTTGGTGAAGCTTTCAGAATTAACTGTGAAACTTCTCATACAAATTACCTTCCAGGTAACTGCCATTTTGACATGCAGGACTAAGAAGAAGCCAATAATATCAAAGGTCCTTTACTCTTAGTCCAGGGTTTGCTTGAGACCTGTAGCTTACATGCGTTCAGGCCCAGCTAAATCACAAGGGCAGCAATTCCTGCCTTGCCCCAAACCTACTTGTGCGGAAACAGAGATTCTATATTTTCTATAAGCTCCCTATGTAATTTTATGTGCAGTCAGCTAGGTATTGGCTTGGGGACTTTAAAAGCGGATACCAAAAAGAAAAAAAAGGGCACCACTGAATTCAACACATGAATAAGAGAAATTAAGTTCCTCATTTTCTTTAAAATATGTTAACGAAGGAACAGAAAATCAAATACTGCATGTTCTCCCTTATCAGTGGGAGTTAAATGATGAAAATTCATGAGCACAAAAATCCCTTTTTCATTTAATCTCAGAAAAATGTCCAGTTTCCTATTCTATAGAAAGATGTTAGGGCAAGCAAGGGAGGGGTAAGGGCTCATGAAATGACTAACTTTCTGGAGAAATAGCTATGCTCTCATGCAACCACCACTACCAATCATTTCTTCAACAAATACTTAGTGAGTCCCTCCTCTGTTCCAGGCAAATCTCCTTCTTGAGGAGCTTACTTTCTAGAAGTCCTCTTTATTACCTTCCTTTATTTGTAAATTATATCTGTATATAATTATAATTTATAATCTGTATAAAATATACAGATATAATTTACAAATTAGATGCTAGAATATCCCCAAAGCAATCTGGTTAACTGGCTGTTTCATTTTAGTGATCTTTAGTGTTCAGGTAAATACACACACACACACACACACACACACACACCCCCCACAATCATTTTAACTCTAAAAATTATTTATCTATATCCCTATCCCCATGATACAACCTCAGCGATGTCATCTGAACTGGTGAAAGAAAAACTGTGGCCAGCTAGTTGATAGGCCTGGGTCTCAATCGCATCCAGCTTGGCTTGCATTATGTGTTTCTGACTTTCACATTCTGCAGTACTAAAGCCAATTCCATTTAGTTCGAGCAAGGCCAAGCAGTACTGAGAGGGCATTTCCACCTTATGGAAAACATCTGGAAGAAAAAAGAAAATTGAAATGTTAATTCATTGGCTAAGTGGCTAGATTAGCATCCTTACTTAAACTATACAGAATTCATCTAGAAAAATCCAGAAACGCTACCAAGGTATCCTTCAGGAGCCAGTCTCCCAAGCAGCATCCTCAAGCCAACAATGAAAGGTGGAAAAGTACAGGCTAGTTTAGCACTGGACAACTATCCTTGTCTCTGCAGAGAGTAGAAGAGTTGGCAATCTTATGACTAGTCTGGATTACAAGAGACTATATTTCTCCAAAGATGTTTCTGCTTCTACTCCTAGCAGGAGCATAACAATCAACTTTACTTTGAAATCCAAAATGCTCCAAAATCTGAAACTTTCTGAGCACTGACATGACACCACAAGTAGGACAGTCCATACCTGACTTTATGTGACAGGGGACAGTCAAAATGCAGGTGTACAACACGAAGTTTATTCAGCGTCTCTAAAGGAAAAAAGTCCCTCCTTGCCCCATTCAGTTTCAATATCTCTTTTCTGCCAGACAACCACAGACTGCCTACATGAGTGACTGAGACAGTGACACCTTTGCTTTCTGATGGTTCCGTGTACACAAATTTTATTTTGTGCACAAAACTATTACATTGTATAAAATTATCTTTAGGCTATGTCTATAGGTATATATGAATTCTACATTTAGACTTGGGTCTCATCCCCAAGATATCTCATTATGTATACGCAAATATTCCAAAATCCAAAAAAATCTGAAATGTAAAAACACTTCTGGTCCCACATTTTGGATAAGGCAGACTTAACTTATATATTAAAGGCCCTGAGAGGACCTGAAGCAAAGACAACTATTTAATTTTATTTTAAGTGAAAGTCCCAAACTTATTTGACCATTAAATCCTTTTTTCATATAATACTTCTTAACATCTTGAAAAGTAAGCATCCATGGAATGTACTACAGGAAATGCTGTCCTAAATCATTAAGAAAGAATCCCTAACAATTCAGCTTCCAGTATTGAGTCACTAGGAATCTGAGCAACCCTGGCCGACCCTCCCCAGCTCCACACAAGCACATAATTTGAGGCACTGCTGGTCTCAATTAGCATGAGAAATCTCCAGGGACACCCATAACCACCATGAAAAGCAAAGAAACAAATGAGAGTTACTGGCTTCTAACCACCTGCAGAAGGTACGAAGCTGTCAGAGCCTGGCTTTAGAAGCCTGGAACTAGTGGAGAAATTCATGTTACTTGAGACTAGAGAAATAATGAACTTGGGTCAAAACAGGAACAATCAGAGAAGCACAAAGTAAGACTGGCAGGAAGCTAGACTGCATCCATAGCCATTAGGAAGGAGCAAGGTCGTTATGGGAATGGAGTCCCATAGCAAAAAAAGTTAAGGGGATATGGATCCTTGAAACAACAACAGGATGAGGAGCTGAGTCTCAGACTCCTGTTCTGAAACAAAACTCTCAAAGGTTACTGTGGTCCTTGGATGCGGAGTAGTGTGGTACCCAGCAGAGGCAGGAGCAAAACCTTTCTAAGGGAAGATTTCCCCACATAAGTCCTGCAGGGATCCTTGATCATAATAAATCCTGTATGAACTCACAAAAAATGTAAAAAATACAAGACAGCAAAGAAATGTGAATAGGACTCAGAAGAAACAACCAAGAACAAATTCAGATCCCCGAAATTGCAGATAACGACTAGTTAAGAATATTGCACAACTGTGAATGAACTACTTACAAAACAAAAAGTGACTAGAAACAAAGTAAAATAGTAGGAAAATAGAGAACAAGTGTGTATCAATAATCATAATAAGCAGAAATACATCAATGATCACAATAAATTAGCAAATTTGCAACAACAACAACAAAAATATGGTAAGCCTGAAAAATAAATAAGCTATACTTTGTTTATAAGACATGTCTGAAGATAGGAACCTAGAAAGGTTAAAAGGGATAGAAAAAAGCTATACGAAGTAATATTAAGAGAAAGCTGATGTTGCCATATTCATATAAGAAAACAGACTAAGAATAAAAATCATTATTTGTTATACAGATGGTCATAATACAATAATAGAAGGTTTAATTCACCAGGAAGACAAATGAATTTTAAACACATACACACCTAATAAAATGGCCTCAAAACAAAACTGATTGAATTACAGGGAAAATAAGACACAGAATATTTTGAAAACAACTTTGACTTAACAGACATATAAAATTGTGCATCCAGAATTAGAGTACACATTCTTTTGTGTGCACATAGAGCACTTACACAATAGTTCAAGTTTTAGATCATTAATTGTTCTCTAAAAATTTCAAGAATAAGTATTATATAACCATGTACTCTAACTACAACACAATTAAGTTTAAAGATAATAAAAATACAAAATAAAAGTTTCTAAATATTGGCCGGGCGCGGTGGCTCAAGCCTGTAATCCCAGCACTTTGGGAGGCCGAGACGGGCGGATCACGAGGTCAGGAGATCGAGACCATCCTGGCTAACACGGTGAAACCCCGTCTCTACTAAAAAATACAAAAAACTAGCCGGGCGAGGTGGCGGGCGCCTGTAGTCCCAGCCTCCGGGAGGCTGAGGCCGGAGAATGGCGTGAACCCAGGAGGCGGAGCTTGCAGTGAGCTGAGATCCGGCCACGGCACTCCAACCTGGGCGGCAGAGCGAGACTCCGCCTCAAAAAAAAAAAAAAAAAAAAGTTTCTAAATATTTAGGAATTAAAAATCATTCTTCTAAATAATTTTTGAGTGAAAAAATATACCAGAAATCTAAAAATATCTAGCATGATAAGAATATTATATATCAGGCCAGGAATAGTGGCTCACACCTGTAATCCCAGCACTTTGGGAGGCAAAGGCAGGAGGACTGCTTGAGGACAAGAGTTCAAGACCAGTCTGGGCAACACAGCAAGACCCCCATCTCTACAAAAAACAAAAAAAAGTTGTGTGTGTGTGTGTGTGTGTGTGTGTGTACACATGAAAATTGTGGAATACAACAAAAGTAGTGCTTTGAGGAAAATTTATAGCCATATATATATACATTTTGTGTGATACAGATCCTCACTCTATTGTCCAGACTGGAGTGCAGTGGCAGAATCTCTGCTCACTGCCAACTCCGCCTCCGGGGTTCAAGTTATTCTCATGCCTCAGCCTCCCAAGTAGCTGGGATTACAGGTGCATGCGACCACACCCAGCTAATTTTTGTATTTTTAGTAGAGACAGGGTTTCACCATGTTGGCCAGCTGGTCTCAAACTCCTGGCCTCAAGTGATCCACCCGCCTCAGCCTCCCAGAGTGTTGGGATTACAGGCGTGAGCCACTGCACCCCGCCACCTTATATTCTTAAGTTAGAAAAGAAAAAAAATAATTTGAGAAGTAATGGTTTTAAGGTCAAAGAGGAATATTGAAAAAGGACTACAAAATAAAGTAAGGGGAAATAGATAATATAGATGTGGACAGAAATCAAGGAAATAGAAAACAAAAGTAATAGGAAGAATCAAAGACAAAAGTTGGTTCTTTGAAAAGACTAGAAAATTGGCAAAATTTCAAGTGACATTAAATAATAATATTATGAAAGAAAAAGAGGATATAACAAATAAACCAGAGATGTAAAAAAGAGAGACTCAGCAATAGCTGTACACCAATAAATTTGAAAATTTAGATGAAACATAAATTCCTTAAAAATATATAGGTTGGGAATGTCACAGCGGAGTAATAAAAAGAAAAAAAAATTGGAAAAAAATAGATATATATAGCTTACCAAATATACTCAAAAAGAAATAACTGAATAATCTTACAGTTATTAAGGAAATCAAAGTTGTAGTAAAAATATCTTTCTATATCAGATGAGAATACCTCCTGGCTAACAGAAAAATTTTAAAAATAAAATGTATCTATATCTCTTTCTACAAAGAAATAATTATATTCAAACTAAATCTGATAGCTGTCTACATTCTCTCCCAAAACTTCCCTTATCTCAATGCACTTCAATTCTTGAATTCTATGAATAGGAAAGCATTAACAATGTATAAAAATGCATTTAATACCTCCTAACCACCCTTTTTTTTGAGATGGGGTCTCACTATGTGGTCCAGGTTGGTCTCAAACTTCTGGGCTCCAGTGATCCTCACACCTTAGACTCCTGTGTAGCTGGGATTACAGGCAGGAGCCACTGAGCCAGGCTAGCCATACATTTTTGAAAGTGCAGAAAAAAAGGAGCTTTCAAAAGCACATTGAAATGGTGAGAGTTAAAAATTATAATAATCAACTAACATAATAAGTACCTGCTCTATGACGAACACTGTCCATATTATATTCACTATCTTATTTAATCCTTAGAACAACTTTATAAGAACCAGACTTACAGTTTCAGTAGTTTGCCCAAAGTCCCTCAGCTCGTAAGTGGATAGTCCAGATCCAAACCCTAGTCTGTATGAACTCATCCGTCTATTTTCTAGTACCTATTGATCAGTCAATAAATTCAGTCATCTCCTCACAATGAAGCCAGATTTGTTCTACTTCACATCTCTATCATAAGCATCCGTTAAGCTCTCTGTAGTCAGGGTGCTCAATCTGGGCCAGCAGATAACAATGACAATAAATTCATGTTATTTGCTATGAGGGAACAAAGAGACTCTCATGACTATCCTTTGCTGTGAAAAAACATCTGTTGGTTAACAGTTTCAAAAAGAAAAGAGTTAACTCTTTGAAATCCATTAAGGATGTCTTCTAAGTGTGAATAAAAATTATTTGATAAAGTTCAAATACAAAATTAGCAACAACTGCATAAATGCCATTTTGTAATTTTCTTCACACAAGGGCCAGAAGTCAGCAAATTATGGCCAAACTAACACTAGACGCATGTTTTTGTAAAGTGCTATTGGAAGACAGCCATTTGTTTTGGTCTTGTCTACAGCTGCTCTTTTGCTACAATGGCAGAGTATTCGTGATAGAGATTGTTTGGTTCACAAAGCCAAAAATATTTACTTACTCTCTGGCCTTTTACAGAAAAAAAGCACTAGACAATCCAAAGGTAGGATTTACATAAATACGTAATTTACCCATTTTTGATAAAGAGTGGCTAAATCTCTATCTCTAATCTATAACATAAAAATGCCAGAAACTTGGTTTTTACCTTGAAGGTTTTCCTTCTGCAACAAAGAGTTGAGCTGATTCATAGAGTTGAAGATGAGAATGGACTCCACAGATGCTCTGTATCGCCCAGAATGCTCACTGCCAGCATTTAGCCCCAGGCTTTGAATCCCTTGGCTGGTCTCCATCCCTTCTAGGAGTGGAAGCTCATGAGGAAGAAAACTGGTAACTATGCTATGAAGAGTCGGCTCCTGAGAATCTGGATCTAGTAACCAGCATGCCACCTGAATGGGAGAGCAATGAGAATATTTTCCTGATTTTTTTTTGAAGACACTTTTGTACCTCTAAATGAAAAGGGAAAAAAAGAAAGCTTATTTCTAACCTCACTCATTTTCATTTAATATTTATTCAGTGGTTTTCCCAGGAAAGGAGAAGGAAAGAATAATTGTAACAGGACTCATTTTTGGTAGCAATAACAGCAATGGCTTTCAAAGAAAGAAAAGTTGTAACTATTCCATTACTACAATGCTCAGGCCGAACCAGTTTAACAGTAGGCTTGACAAACAAGTGTGTCTCAGCAAACTCAAACCATGCGTCTGAAAATGAAGATGGACTCCTCTACTAGGCTAATTTGGGCTAAGCTACTGTAATAAAGATGGGCTACTGTGAGGTTTTAGGTATATTTAGTTCTTTCAACAGCAAAAGAAGTGAGGTATCGGGCGCGGTGGCTGCTGCCTGTAATCCCAGCACTTTGGGAGATTGAGGCGGGTTGATCACCTGAGGTCAGAAGTTCAAGACTAGCCTGGTCAACATGGTGAAACCCTGTCTCTACTAAATATACAAAATATTAGCTGGGTGTGGTGGTGGGCACCTGTAATCCCAGCTACTCAGGAGGCTGAGGCAAGAGAATTGCTTGAACCTGGGAGGTGGAGGTTGCGGTGAGCTGAGATTGCACCAATGCACTCCAGCCTGGGCAGCAAGATCAAAACTTTGTCTCAAAAAAAAAAAAAAGAAGTGAGGCATAAATGTTTTACCATTAAAAGTTTATATCCAGAGTTTCAGAAAGCCTCTAGACTTTCCCCTCAGGATGGGGGGTTTGTCACCAGAAAACCATCCAATTATTCATTTGATTGCCATTTCCAACCTCCTCATGAGTAGGAGTCCTGTAGTTTCTAATACTAGATCAAGCAGATCATTAACTGGATTAGAATAAGGGAATCTAAGCCCTGTTCACAATTCTGACAATTACTTTACTATATGACTCAATTATTTCTTTTGTAGGTTAAGAATAAAGTTTTATAGGGGAATACTGAATGAAACAGTCTCATGTAAAGGTTAACAGGTTTTTTAACTGAGTCATCATTATGAAGAGTGCATCAAACTTTGCTATTATAAAGGAAAGTTCTCAGGAGCCAGTAAGGCGATTTGCCTCTATGCTAAATGGTCACTAACTACAATCCTTTTTGACATCTTATTCACACTCTTTTTCAATTTTCTGCCTCCACCCTCATGAATATTTAAAACCTTCTGCTATCATATACCTAAATCTGTTCTCATTTCACTTCCAATTTACTATTAGACAGAAAACTTAGGACTTATGACCCAAATTAAAATTTTTTCAAAATCTCTGAGGAAAGACATAAACTTTAGGGCTCCAAATTTGTGACATCTCTGTTTTTATCTACACAGAGATATTTGGTGCATGATATTCTATTCTGGGTAGATGAGATTATTGAATAAAGAATTGACTAAAATTCTTAAGCTGCATTACTGAAGCTAAGGAAATACCAAGTCATTTAAGAATTAACACTAAAAATGTTGTTTTAAGTATATAAAAATTAAATAAGACATAGAACCTTAGGATCTTCATAACTTTGTTCCAAGGAGATGCCACAAGAAAGAAGAAGAATTTTATAGCTCTGGATGAAGTCATAGATGACAACAGAACGTTCTTTATCAGATTCCTTTCGCAAGCAAGATTGAAGGTGCCATATCCTGTCTTTCAAAGTCAGGCTTGGATCTAGAGAAGGTGGAACCAAACTGGCACTAATTTCTTTAAAAAAAAAAAAAAAGGAAAAAACAGTTTTAAGGCAAAAACTACATGTTTTCATTTGAAGCAGCAATCTTTAGTAGAAAGACTGAAAAAGACTAGAAGCCTAAGGGTCTGGTTCCATGTGACGAGTAATTCAGCATCTTATCAAGGTCATATCAGCTATGTAGACGAAGTGCATCATAATCTAAAAATTATGGTTTGGGCTAGAAGATTTTTAATGCTCTACTTAATTAGGTGGGAGAAAATATTAAGCATTAATACTTCTAAAAACAAAATTTCCCAGAATGAGGAGTTAAAGACAGGAAAAGTATTTGGAAATAAATTTTAAAGAGAGATTTAGTATGAACAGATACTATTCTATCCAAATAAAGAAAAAGCTTAAGTAACTACTCACCCCAACATATTTTCCTGCAAAACAACTGAAAATATTTCATGCTTACTAAGGAACAGACACTACACAGCATCCTTTAAAATGTTTCCTTATTAATTTTGCTCCTGTCCAAAACCAACCTATCAGCTGGGGTATCCAACAACCACAGTCAGATCACAGGGTATTTCCAGATTACATCCTTTCCATTCCAAAGACTTCTCCAAAGTTTATATGATTCGACTACTATAGACCTCTAGCCCAACGATCCCTCTAGATGAGTTTCAGACCCATTCAATGGGAGGACAGAAGACTGAAAATAAACTGCCATACTTTAGTCTTCAAAAGCAAACCCTGAAAATGGCAAGAGAGTTCCTGAGGCTTCACTGCCCACTCAGAGGAAAAACCCATAGCATTAATAGCCTCATGTGACAGGCAGGGAGAAGTAAGGAAGTGCTTCTTAAAACATTAATTCTAGTTAATATATGCAATAACATATATGCCAGCTGCTCTCCAAAAAATTACAAGTTTTGCCGGGCACAGTGGCTCACGCCAGCACTTTGGGAGGCCGAGGTGGGTGGATCACCTGAGGTAAGGAGTTCAAGACCAGCCTGACCAACATGGGAAAACCCTGTCTCTACTAAAAAAAATACAAAATTAGCCGGCGTGGTGGCACATGCTTGTAATAGCAGCTACTTGGGAGGCTAAGGCAGAATCGCTTGAACCCAGGAGGTGAAGGTTGTATTGAGCCAAGATCAGGCCCCGGGCAACAAGAATGACACTCTGTCTCAAAAAAAAAAAAGAAATTTAAAATCTAAAAATAAATCCTAGGTAAATATCAGGAAATTATTCTCAAAATATAAGATCACTACCCTAATGGATGTTATACGAATTACATAGTGACTTACTCAAATACTCATTACTTACCAGAATGCTTTTGTTCCTTCTGCAATGAAAAATAATAGGCATCCCTTCCACCCCAGCATACTGCCAGTCCAACCACCAAGATGTCATCACAACCTTTAATAGGAAATCCATCATCTCTAATAGGAATTTCCTGAGGTGAGCTAGCTAAGTAAAACAAAAGTGAAATAGGTAAAAATCTCTAAAAATAAAGACATTATATAAATTGTTAAAACAATTATAATAAAAAATCTATCTTTGATAGGCAAAATTTCCTTAAAAAAATAGGTATTTGGACAGTCATTTTAAGTATAAGTAAGATCCTTGCAGGCTTCTCATCAATTAAGATAACCGTCACTATGAAAAAGCAACCAAAGATTTGTTAAATCTATAGTGATTAAGTTCAAAAAAGAGAGGCTGTATTTCAAATTTTATAACTCAAACAAAAATACAGATCATTTGCATACTACAAATATTTTACAGCAAATTCAGCAATTCTTGGCTAAGAAACTCCAGAAAAATAAAGACTATTATTCCCTAGTGAAGTATAATTTTGTATCTAGAGTCAACATTTTTTCCTAAAATAATGTATCTCGAATTTTATAAAGGTCACGAATCAATCTGTCTTATTAATAATTATATCCCTAGTATCAGGAAAATAACTGGCACATAAGAACTTAGTACATATTTATTAAATTTAGGTGAACTTTCTTATCCCTCTAGCCTCTATTATATAGCCTGATACAGAAAATGTGCTCAATTTTGTTTGTTGCATCAAAAATGGAAAGTGCTATTCAACACTAAAAGTACATAAAAGTTGTGGTTAACACATCTGCTCCATGAATTGAAAAATCAGACAAATACCCAAACCTTTATGAACAAATTAATTCATAAAATAGCAAGGTTTAATAAATCTAATCAAACACCTGATTTCCACAGCAGGTTGTCAAGCTGTCTACAACTGGTCCCCACAATCCAGAAGGCAGAGTTCATGCAATAAGACAGGAATATACATAGCCTTACTTGACCAAAAGGTTCAACTCTCTCAAAACCTGGAAGGGCTCCGCAAGGTTTTGGAAGCAACATTTCCGTATACAATTCATGACTATCAATGGAGGTCTAAATTCTACTCAAGATAAATCTTGGAAAATGTAGCTAATGTACACTGTGAAGAACAAAGTTCCTATTAGCAATGTACTTTTGTAATTACATAAGCAAACAAGGATATTACAATTTAATAGAAAATAATTTATGAGGCCACGCATGGTGGCTCACGCCTGTAATCCCAACACTTTGGGAGGCTGAGGCAGGTGGATCACGAGGTCAGGGGATTGAGACCATCCTGGCTAACACAGTGAAACCCCGTCTCTACCAAAATACAAAAAAGAAATTAGCCGGGCGTGGTGGCGTGCGCCTGTAGTCCCAGCTACTCAGGAGGCTGAAAAAGGAGAATTGCTTGAACCTGAGAGGCAGAGGTTGCAGTGAGCTGAGATCACACCACTGCACTCCAGCCTGGCCAACAGCAAGACTCTGTCTAAAAATAATAATAACAATAATTCATGAGGCCAGGTGCAGTGGCTCATGCCTGTAATCCCAGCACTTTGAAAGGCCAACACAGGCGGATCACTTGAGGTCCGGAGTTTGAGACCATCCTGGACAACATGATGAAACCCCATATCTACTAAAAATACAAAAATTAGCCAGGCACGGTGCACATGCCTGTACTTCTAGCTACTTGGGAGGCTGAGGCAGGAGAATCACTTGAACTCAGAAGGTGGAGGGTGCAGTGAGCTAAGATCAAGATCACACCACTGCACTCCAGCCTGGGCAACTGAGCAAGACTCCATCTCAAAAAAAAAAAAAAAAAAGAAAGAAAAAGAAAAAAAAGAATTCATGAGCACTGATGATTAATAAAAACCATTATGTTACAACATTAATATACCATCAAAGAACTGTCACATTCATATTCAAAATATATATTATCCTTATTTTTGTAAACTTTTATTCTAATATATATTACATGTTCCTTTTATACTGGAGGGCAACTACCATTAATTATCAATTTAGGTATGCTGAATAAATAAGGCTGTTCTATACATAAATCCACAGCGGAGATACACACTACAATTTGAACAGATTATATTTAATACCTAACATTGAGAAATCTCTTATCTCAGTCTACTAGTTTATAAACATGAAAAAATAAAATTAAAAAAGTTCTTACCTTGCTTAAACCTACCACCAATAGTAGCAGTTTTAGAAGATGTGAAACTTCTAATCTTTTCACAAGCCAGTGAGATGGAAAATCGCTTTTTGCACCGCCACTCCTTAATGAATGTTTGAAAAAGATTTTGGTCACTTGCTACATCAATTATGGCCAAACTTTCTGAACTGCTTGAGGCTGGAGTTAACTGTAATCCATCCTGTGATAACTGAAGTGAAAAGCCTGTGTCACTAATAGGGTTGTTGTCTTTGAACCCATTTCTACTCTCTGGACTTAAATCGTGGTTTTTAATGTCTGAAGGTGAGTCAAATAAATAACTTTCACCAGGTTGTAAAACATTATTAGTTTTCCAACGGTTTACAGGTGTTTCAAGAATCCCTGGAAATGTCAGCTTAGAAGCAGACGTTGGAACGGGTGTAGGAGGAATGAGACCATTATCATCAACTATATCGCTTTCTTTACGAGGTAAGAGGGATGAGGTTTCACCATGATTGGCATTGTTTTCTAGCATCTCAATCTTGCTTTTTACTTCACTATTAGAAGAAAATGAAATTCCCTGCACTTGGTTTGTCTCCAAGTTTGAAATAACTTCTTGTTCTTCATTTAACTCTGTATTTTTTCCATTCAAACTAGACAAGTTTATAGTCACTGATTTTAGGTTTTCATTTTCTAGTGGACTGGACACTTTATCTAAAATCCTTTGCAGTCCTGGACTTAGATCAAATGATGCCCCTGACCATATGAATGAATGATTTTGCCTGGTCCCAGTTAATTTTGATTTTTCAGCCCTTTCATCTTGATCTCCTCCATCTTGATCACCTTGGTGGTGCTCATCAAGTACTGGATCATTTAGTTCTAATGCTCTAGGATATACTACAGTATGATGCTTCCCTTGAACAGGAAATATATCCGCATTGTCCAAAGCTTCAACCATCTGAACAGAATCCATTTCTGAAAATATAACAGATTCATCATTGGAAAAAGTCAACTGCTGGCAGGTATCTTGATTCTCATTTACATTTGATTTTTTAATTAGGTCTTCTTGTTGTAGACACAGAGAATCACTAAAATGGTGTGATGTTACTTCTGAAGGAAGGGGTTCTTTCGTTTGCACATCAGGTAATTGTTCTTTTACTAGATAGTCATCGCTGAAACTATCAAAGAGTAAACTGTCACTCATATTCAAACTTGTTTCAGGAACTGGAAGACATTCTCCTTCTGTACCACTGGGAGTTCTCGTTTGAGGAATCAGAGGTATAACTGGTTTCACAGTTTCTTGTGTTTGATAACCTTGAAGAAAACTATTTAATTGAGAATCAGTAACAGAAAGTTCATTCTTTTTAAAACAAAGACCATTTTCCTCCAATAGTATTGGAGAATGGAAAATTGGGCTTTCTGGAGTCAGGATATCAACCCCATGTGAATCAGTGCTTTGTTTCATAGTACCTACAGTCTTAAGGTCCAAATGATCTATCTTAGTCGCTCCTAGAGGATGCTGCTTAGCAGGAAAAGGAATGTGACACTCTTTCTGAAAAGAGTTCATCAAGTTCTGTTGGACTACGCTCTTCTGCATTATCCCTGCTGCCAGGTTGGTGTCCTTTGCTCCTAGTTTGGTGCTTTCAGTTGCCATCTGTTGCATTATTTTCTCTGACTGAGTATCCAGGTAGAAACTATCTTCAAAATCACAGTCAGAAACATGATTATTTTTAGTTTTGTTTGTTGTGTAAGTACCTGTTTTTTCTTGTAGTCTAGAAATATTTAGAAAATTCTCATGCTGGCCTCCTGATTTGCTAAATGCTCCAGTTGATGGAAGCACTTCACTGGGTATCGCAGTTCTGCTTATATCATCTCCTAATGCCTGAAAATGACTTGGTTTATTTTCCTCCGTATTAAGCTTTATCCTTTCACAATTAATAGTAACATTTGAGTCTCTATTTATGTAACTACTGACTGCTTCACAGGGCATTTGTCTCTCTATTATATTTTTCTGTTGGGTAAAAGTGCTTGCCTGTTCATGAGATTGCTTTTGCGGGTACTGGTTAATTGGATGGGTGTCACAGTGTTTCACATAAACATTCTGGTTTTTTGAATCATTTTGTATCAGCACTTCATTTATTTTTTCTGCCTCAACAGCTACTCCTCTGCCCTTTTCACCAACCACACTAGTGGCCTGACAAGTCACATTTTTACTCTGAGATCCTGTGACAATATCTTCCACAAAATTGTCATTAGTTAGTGTTATGTTCCGTGAACAACTTTGCTTTATTTGTAATGGGAATGATGTTTTGTTATCTTTTTCCTTACCACTCAAAGATACATTTTTATCAAATGGCCCTGAATTTCTAAATTCTGTATTCTTCTCATCTAAGGTAAATGGGTCTTCACAAAGACTAGGATTAGACAGAGTCTGTCCCTGTAAATGGATTCTACATGCTCCAGAGTCTTTCAGGGGGCTGCTGTCCCTAGATTGCTTTAGATGCTTTCTATGTTTCCAAGATCGAAAACTTCTGCTCATCTTTTCTGAATTGAAATTCAAAGGTACCTTTTTTGTTTTCTCTGAAAAAATCTTAACAACTTTCTTATTGCTTGTTTTCCCCTCATTCTGAGAGGCTCCTGGCTTCTCTTTATTTATATCCAAAGAGGCCCGTTTTTTTGCTCTGAAAATGGAATGTCTCTGATGTTCTTGATTCCCATCCTGGAAATTACAATTAAAGGAACTTGTATGCTCTCTACTTTTATTTAAGTCTTGCACTATATTTGGTGAATGCTTAATGTAAGAATCACTAAATATTGTGTTACTTTTGTTCTTTGATGTTAATTTTTTATAAGAACTCTTAGTTTGGGATATAAATGTGTGTTCCTTTACTTCTGACTCACTGTGAGTCAATGAACATGTACTAGAATGTAACAGGGCACAGGGATTCCATTGCACTCCCATTTCAACTAAGTCCTGCTGCAGAATCATTCTGGCTTCTTCCACTATAAGGGCTGCTGCTTCCCTTTCAGTTAAACCTTTTCTGCCAGTCACCCAGATAGTTCGCATATTCCGACGTTCTTCAACTGCTTCCTCTTCCTCATCCACTGCCTTCCGGGCACTACACAAAGAGATGGGAAAAGACAGAAATGAATTCATTCATTCGTAAGGCAAATATTTATTAAACATTCAATCTGAGCTGTTCTAGGAACTGGAAAAATAGCAATGAAGGTGAGAGAGAAATGTATCTGCTCTCATGGCACATTCTAGCTGGGGAATTCAGAAAATAAAGGTTTAAAATGCATTCTATATTACCTGGTGATAAGAGTTGTATACAAAAATGAGGCACCAGAAACGGGTGGGTGGTTCTGTAGCTTTTAAACGGCATAATAAAGGAAGGCTTCGCTAAGACAGATTCTTTAAGTAGAAGCCTTTAAAAAAGTGAAAGCCATAAAACTTTCATTGACAAACATCCAGCCAGGCGCGGTAGCTCACGCTTGTAATCCCAGCACTTTGGGAGACCGAGGAAGGCGAATCACTTGAGGCAAGGAGTTCGAGACCAGCCTGGCCAACATGGTGAAACCCTGTCTCTACTAAAAATACAAAAAATCAGCCAGGCATGGTAGCAGGTACCGGTAATCCCAGCTGCTTGGGAGGCTGAGGCATGAGAATCGCTCAAACCTAGGAGGCATTACAGTGAAACAAGATCACACCACTGCACTCTAGCCAGGGCAACAGAGCAGGATCCTGTCTCATTTAAAAAAATTTTTAAAAGGCTGTATGCAGTGGCTCATGCCTGTAATCCCAGCACTTTGGGAGGCAAAGGTGGGTGTATCACCTGAGGTTAGGAGTTCAAGACCAGCCTGACCAATACAGTAAAACCCTGTTTCTACTAAAAACACAAAAATTGGCCGGGTGTGGTGGCATGGGCCTGTAGTCCCAGCTACTTGGGAGGCTAAGACAGGAGAACTGCTTGAACCCAGGAGGCAGAGGTTGCAGTGAGCCGAGATCACACCATTGTACTCCAGGGTGACAGAGTCTCGCTCTGTCTCAAAAAAAAAAAAAAAAAAAAAAAAAAAAAAAAAAAAAAAAAAAAAAAAAGATAAGACAAGAAAGAAAACAAATCCTCCTATACAATACACAATATAAACTCTGGACAAAATATATGAAGGGACTAGAAAATGAACAAAAAAGAAAGCAGAAACTGGAGGGGGGTTGAGACTTGCAAGAAAGAAATGGCAGTGGGTGAATTTTCACTTTTTACCTGAAGGCAGGGTCCAGTCAATACCCTGTAGGTTGGCTAAAAACTTAGATAAAAACCTGGAATTCACTGATTGACAGAAGTCAAAAGAGAGTTAAGAGTAACTACATTAGTTGGAAATTGAAGGCAATATAGAACAGATAACTAGTGAAGAACAACTCCTAATTCTTCATATAAACTCTGCCCAAATCTCTGACTGACCTCTAAACTGTGCAAGTGTGAACAGATTCCAAGTGGTCAGTTAAAATAAACCAGGGGTCCTCAACCCCCGAGCTGTAGACCAGTAACAGTCCATGGCCTGTTAGGAACTGGGTCGCACTGCAGAAAGTGAATTATAGGCAAGGGAGCACTACTGCCTGAGCTCTGCCTCCTGCCAGATCAGCTGCAGCAAACCCTATTGTGAACTGTGCATGCAAGTAATCTAGGTTGTGTGCTCCTTATGGGAATCTAATTGTTTCATCCTAAAACCAAACCATCTCCATCACCCTCCTACCCCCACCTCTACCCCTGGTCTGTGGAAAAATTGTCTTCCATGAGGAAGAGATATGCAAGAGCAAAGAGGATAGTAAAATACTATACCCCATCCCTTCTCACACAGGTTAAGGTCTCAGAGCTGGGAGTCAGGTTTAAAGTGAATGGGAGGGAAGAAACACTGAACTGGAAATAAGATTGATGCTTCCATCTAGAACAAATTGTTTAATACCTGAAAAATAAAACTGGTTGTTAGTACCTCAAAGTAACTAAATACCTATAGAATCTGCCTGAGATTTCATATAAGAGAGAGTTCAAAAAAATAGTGGTAGAAAAAATAATTAAGCTATTCTTTGATTTATATACTGAGTCTAGCCCATTCAATAAATTGGTTATGCAGACATACGCACACAAAAAAAATCAAGGAATCTTCTCACAAATTGTTTTGAGGGACACTAGCATTCCAAAAAACATTTCAGAGGAATGTATTTTAAAATGCTTTTGTCTAATGAAAGTGTAAGATGAGCCTGAGATATATAATGAAATCACATCAAAATTATCAAAATCCATCAAAGCAGATCAAAATAAAAATGCATCAAAGCAGAAAGCATTGATACCAAACTTTTGCTCAGTTTTTTTGAGACACGATCTTACTCTGTCACCCAGGCTGGAGTTCAGTGGCGCTATCAGGGCTCACTGCAGCCTCAACCTCCCGGGCTCAACCAACTCTCCAGCCTCACACCCCCAAGTAGCTGGGACTACAGGCACATGCCACCACACCCAGTTATTTTTATTTTTTTTAAATTTTAGTAGCGATGAGATCTTGCTATGTTGCCCAGGCTATTCTTGAACTCCCAAGCTCAAGCAGTCAGCCTCAGCTTCCCAAAGTACTGGGATTACAGGCGTGAGGCACTGTGCCCAGCCCCACTCAGACATTCTAGTAGGAATGTTTTTAAGTCATGTATTATTTTTAAAATACACAAAACAAAAAGTAATCTGCAAGGGGGAAAAAGTAGCCATATTTTCTTCCACTTACACCAAGTATATAATAAGATTATTTAACATAAAAATACTTTAATACATTATCTACTATTTTAAAATTAACATTTTTTTTAATTTAATAAGCCCATGTAGGTAAAGGTATTCTCTTACCTTTTGAAAGGCACAGCACTTTTCAGAATCACCTCCACCTCCACAATATTTGCCCTAGCAAGGTCCGCCACAGTATGAAAGCCAGAAGCATAGAGAACCCTGGCTCTCTGAGCATTTAGTAAGGATACCCGAACCAGGTCACACAGCTCCCTCTGGATGCCAAATGTAAGACGCTTCTGAAATTGGCAAAGTAGTAGTTCCATGTTGTGCCAGCCCAGACGGTTGGAAAACACTGTAATCATCCCTAGAACATTCATAGAATAATTGTTGAATTGATTTTTTTTTACAGACGAATTCGCCATTTCTTTAGATGTATTTATATTTCCTTGTTTTTTCCCTGCAAAATTGTAAGATTTAACAAGGCCCAAGGTGTAAGTTAACAAGGGAACAGACATATATTAAGAGCCTTAACTAATTGGACAATAAATGTGCTAAGTTTTATGAGATGACATTAAATGTCATCTTATTTATTCTTCATCCTGAAGTTAACACAAGAAAACTGAGGCAGAGCATATAAACACAAAACAAACAAGAAGCCCTCACCCTAAATCATTTCTCTCTCTCTTTCTTTCTTAAGCAAAAGAGAACTCTTAAAAAGGTGTTTAAGAACTCTTAAAAAGGTGTTTAAAAAGGTGTAAAGGTGCTGGGCGCGGTGGTTCATGCCTGTAATTCCAGCACTCTGGGAGGCTGAGTAGAGCAGATCACCTGAGGTCGGGAGTTTGAGAACAGCCTGACCAACACGGAGAAACCCCGTCTCTACTAAAAGTACAAAATTAGCCGGGCATGGTGGCGCATGCCTGTAATCCCAGTTCCTCGGGAGGCTGAGGCAGGAGAATCGCTTGAACTCGGGAGGCAGGAGTTGCAGTGAGCCGAGATCGCGCCACTGCACTCCAGCCTAGGCAACAAGAGAGAAACTCCATCTCAAAAAAAAAAAAAATAGGGATTCTTTCCACCTAGAAGAAAACAAGAGAGTTGGTTTCAATATTCAAGTGCTGAGAGAACGAGAAAGAGAGAAGTTCCCAGGTGCATTTTCTTCAAAGAAAGGTTGCTGAGCTCAATAGCTGCACTGTCTTGGAATAAAGAAACCAAACAAGTGCCATGTCATAAAGACATCTGTGGAATTAAAATTGTTTTACACTTCCCTACAAGAACATAAACCCCTTGAGGCAGTCTTTCATCTTTGATGACAGTGAGTCTAAGAGTGAGTCCCTCCCGGCTGGGCGCGGTGGCTCAGGCCTGTAATCCCAACACTTTGGGAGGCCGAGGCGGGTGGATAACGAGGTCAGGAGATCGAGACCATCCTGGCTAACACGGTGAAACCTCGTCTCTACTAAAAATACAAAAAAAAAATTAGCCAGGCGGGGTGGCAGGTGCCTGTAGTCCCAGCTACTCGGGAGGCTGAGGCAGGAGAATGGCGTGAACCTGGGAGGTGGAGTTTGCAGTGAGCCGAGATCGTGCCACTGCACTCCAGCCTGGGAGACAGAGCAAGACTCCGTCTCAAAAAAAAAAGTGAGTCCCTCCCTTCTTGCCACTATCTCTTCTCTCTTTTTTTTTTTTTTTTTTGAAATTTAAAGAAAAAATGTATTGAAGATCTGAAAAACAATTCCTAAAAGATTGACTTTTCCAGAAAACTAGCTACACAATGCATTGCGTCTATCATGTTAAAACGTGCATTAGACACAAATGCAAAAACCATGAAACAAGCCACCATTCTTCAACAATTTGAGCAAAGATAAAATGCCTAAGTAACAACATGGATGACTTGCAAAGGATGGGCTCTTTACTTTAAGCACCATTAAAAAAAAAAAAAAAAAAAGGAGCACAAATGGATGAGTATGTTCAGTTATATACATGGAATTGAACCTTTGGCACTAGGAATCAGAGCATTTTGTCATATAGCATTACCACGTATTATAAAAGTGCATAGTGTCAAAGGAATAGAACCACCAGCATTCAAAAGCAGCTTTGTCAACAAGGCAATAAAACACTCTACAGCATATCCCTCTGTTGTCCATCATTGAAAACACTGGCAGCAAATTTGAAATGAAAAAAAAAAGAAAAGAAAAGAAAAAAGGAGCTATTACCCCTTTTATTTTCTCTGTTTAAAAATCAAACAGAAAACAAACATCAATTGTTATACACTAACATCTTCAAAGCACATCGTTTGTACAAGAGATAGACTAAGAACAAAAATGTGTTTACGGAGATCCAAACATAAGTGAGTGAGAGTGCCTCTCACACAGCTTTCCGATGGTACTCAGGAGGAGCCACTTCGTAATCGCTGGCACTAAACAAAGTTGCAGAATTCTTTGCCAGGTACTTTAGGAAATCGTGAAGATAATTGAGTAATAAAGCAAGGCTCTTCTCATCCAGAGGTGTATAGGCCAACATTGCTCCAATTCGTACAAATAATCTGAGGAGATATGGTGCTCCATACACCTGGGACATGGGTGCATCGGGATGATCTGCAAGAATTTCGGCGTACTGTGGTCTCTCAAATTTGTAGAGTAGCTGGGTGCCCAACATTACGTTGAAGTATTCTTTTATCCCTGCCACAACTTCATTAACCGCATACTCCTTATTATCTGTGTTTCCACGAGATTTCTTGTAATTTGCATAATCCTCAAGAATGGAATCCACATTCCTCTTGGCAGGAAGATAAAAGAGCTGTTTTTGCCTGGTAATTAAGTCCCAGTCATCAACAAGGCACGGTTTTAGCTCTTCAGGAATCTTTACTTTAACTTCAACTCTGTTCATGAATGTTTCCTCATTTTCAACAGTAGGATCTACCCGGGCCCTTTTCTTCCGAGGAGGCTGAGGGGTCTCACTGGTACTGCCACCATCTCCATTTCCAGGTGTTTTCTGTTTGTTCTTTTTTGTTTTCACTTCAACATTTTTCTGTTGCAGACCAGATGTCTTCTTTCCTGGGGCAGCCCCTCTCATCTTCCCCTCTGCATACTGCTCCTGATTGGCTTTTTGAAGTTCTCACTGTTTCTGCAAATTGGTGTCCACGTATTTGAGTACTCTGCTCTCTGGAACCCACTCATCCCAATTTTTATTCCAACCACTGTAATGTATAAAGTATTTCACTTGTTTGTCCTTTATGGCAACCTTTATACACTTTGCTTCATAAAGAAGAGGCCCATGAAAGCACAGCACTCGCTCACCCTCCTGGAATTTAGGCTTCGGGTCCTGCTTCGGCGCCATTTATAAGTGATTCGCCGCCTCCTCCTTCTCCCATCACCCCCGACTACCGCCCCCTACTCTCTACCCACTATCTCTTCTCATCTTCCCCACAGTACTCCCTCATAAGCACATATCTTCACGATGAAACCTCTTATACATATAACACAACCTCTCGTAGCCCATAGTTTCCTTCTTAAGGGCTTGTAAGGATTCCTTAGTAAAATCAGACTCAGAATTTCTCGTTTGCTTAGGGTTTAATACATTAAGGTAGACCTTAGAATAGATCATTTTTGTAACAGTCATACAGGAGTTCAGAAATCCCTCTCCATCTTCCATCCTTCTCCTTAACAATATGTATTAATCAGTACCTTTTTTTTTTTTTTTTTTTGAGACAGAGTCTTGTTCTGTCACCCAGGCTGGAGTGCAGTGGTGTGATCTCGGCTCACTGCAACCTCCACCTCCTGGGTTCAAGCAATTCTCTGCCTCAGCCTCCTGAGTAGCTGGAATTACAAGCACCCACCACCACACGTGGCTAATTTTTTGTATTTTCAGTAGAGATGGGGTTTCACCATCTTGGTCAGGCTGGTCTTGAACTCCTGACCACGTGATCCACCCGACTCAGCCTCCCAAATTGCTGGGATTACAGGCGTGAGTCACCGCGCCCGGCAATCAGTACCTTAATGAGAAAGGGGAGACCACAGAGAACTCTGTTTCGTTTCTTCTTGCAACAGGAAAAAGAGAAGAAAAAGGAAAACAGAAAGGAGGATAGTCAGCAGGTTGCTAAGGAATAGAGGCCAAGACATTCAGCTAGTTACCAATCCTCTGTAACATGGTACTGAGCCCTGAGGAGCCACAGTTTTGAATTTTCCGATGATGACAAGAACTGTACAAAATTATAGCACTTTTAAAGAGGCCTACAATAAAATGGAATTTGGAAAAAAAAGCAATCTTAACTCGACCTCAAATCATCGTCTTAAATAACTATGAAACCCTTTGTTTAACTGACCTGCATAAACAGCAGCTGACTGTTGCAAAGATTGAATCTGTCCACGATTGCATCCATATTTCTGATTAATTTCCCTTAAGGGAACTTCACTGATTAAATCTAATAGCACAAGACTGGTGAAAAACCTGGGAATAAATCATCAAAAGCATGGTAAGAGATCATTCACATCTACTAGGAGATACAATGTATGTTGCAAAATGACTAAGAACTGGAAAGGCAACAGATGACTTATATAATACATTCTGGTAAGATTCTTAATAGAAAATAGGGTTACTGGCCGGGCGCGGTGGCTCAAGCCTGTAATCCCAGCACTTTGGGAGGCCTAGGCGGGTGGATCACGAGGTCAGGAGATCAAGACCATCCTGGCTAACACGGTGAAACCCCGTCTCTACTAAAAATACAAAAAATTAGCTGGGCCATGGTGGCGGGTGCCTGTAGTCCCAGCTACTAGGGAGGCTGAGGCAGGAGAATCACTTGAATCCGGGAGGCAGAAGTTGCAGTGAGCCGAGATTGTGCCACTGCACTCCAGCCTGGGCAACAGAGTGAGACTACATCTCCAAAAAAAAAAAAAAAAAAGAAAGAAAGAAAATAGGGTTACTGGACAAAGATTGAGATCAATGCTTGCAAAGCAAGTTTTGACATGCATTAGTACTATAGTAAAGAACTAATGTGTGTATAACAAAAAGTTGCCCATATTCAATATTGCTGCTATCAAGAAATGAGACTTGGTTGAAGAAATGTGATGACACAAAAATTTAAAACATAACTTGATATACAGTTACATGTAAATCATTACTCCAATAAAATGACAATATAAATATAGCATCCAATTTTGATTTGAAAGGCAACAGTAGCAAAAGTAATCCAAGTATATAAATCCTTATAAAATTTATACTTAATCATATTATAAATAATATACTAAAGACTGCTTTTTAAGAAAAATCATTTCATTACATTTCCCTCTTTTTTTTTTTTTGTTTAACTGACCTGCATAAACAGCAGCTGACTGTTGCAAAGATTGAATCTGTCCACGATTGCATCCATATTTCTGATTAATTTCTCTTAAGG